GTGAATGGCCGTCCCGAACTTCACCTTCGTCTTCTTGCCAAGAACACAGCGCTCACAGAATTCCATTTTACCACTTTTGGCTCCCTTCAATAGCCCCTGCTTACACAAAGCCTGCAGTGACTTCTCTCCCGTGTGCCCTAACCTGTAATACCAAAGCCTACTCATGTCCGCCTCTGAAGTAGCAGAAGAAACCTGGCCAATCTCGGTGCTCCCCTTCAGATAGTATAAATTTTGACTGTGGACTCCCTTCATCACCACCAAAGATCCCTTAGTAACCTTCGCTACAGTGTTCTCAAAGGTCACCCTGAATCTCTTAGCCTCCAAAGCTCCAACTGAGATAAGATTCTTTTTTAGTTGAGGAACGAATCTTACCTCCTTCAACTCACAAACTACTCCATCGTGCATCCGAATCCTCACAATACCTATCCCACAAATACCACAGGATTGATCATTTTCCATGACAACAACACCCCCATCGAGTCTCTCAAACGATGAAAACCAATCTCGCCTAGGAGTCACATGATAAGTAGCGCCAGAATCAAGCATCCAATCCGATGCATCCAAATGGTTCACCTCCGGAGTAATCAAAAGAGAAAAGCTCGAATCATCATAACCATCGCCTTTCGCAACATTCACATCATTGGTCTTCGGGCCCTTTTTCTTGCTATTCTCCTTTTCCTTGACCTTTGGGCAGTCTCTCTTCCAATGTCCTAGTTCCTTGCAGACTGCACACTGGTTGTTAGCTAGCTGGTAACGACCTCTTGACTTTGACCTTCCTCGATTACCACCTTTCAGATATGGGCTTCTACCTCTCGTCGACAAGGCCTCTCCTGAAGTACTAGCGCGGGAAGTCTCTTTATCCTTCCTCCTCAAATCGTAGTTCGTCAATGCGTTAGTCACTTCACTATAAGTGATTTATCCTTCCTCCTCAAATCGTAGTTCGTCAATGCGTTAGTCACTTCACTATAAGTGATAGAAGATCTTCCGTTCAGCAAAGTAAGCACGAAGGTATCATACTCCTCATCCGGTAAGGAGCCCAAAAGAATAATAGCCTTGTACTCATCCGTGATCTTCTCATCCACGTTCGCTAAGTCCGATAACAACTTAGTGTAGTTGTTCACATGAGCCGCAAGCGAGGTGCCTCGGGACATCTGGAATCTGAATAACCTACGCAACAAATGCAACATGTTCTCAACACTCTTCGTAAGATACTTATTGTTGAGAATTTCTCACATCTTCATCGCAGATGTCACCCCAATCACATCATATTTCAGCTCATGTTCCAAACAGGACCCGATCACCCCACAAGCGTTCCTATTCATCTTTTCTCATACCGCCTCTTCATATTTAGGTGGCCTCACATCGACCATGATGGTCTCCTCCAAATTTTGAGCATTGAGCGTATCATGTACGTCGCTCATCCACAAACCAAAATTGATTTTGCCGTCATATTTCACTACACTAATCTTAGTGTTCTGAAAACTTATTTGAACTGTACCCGTCATCTTGCTGCTTTCACCAACTTCTTCACCCATAATCACAAACTTCAAATTGCAAAGAAAGATTCAAACTTTATAGAATTTAGAAGTTACCCAACTGAACCCTAGATTGGATTCCAAATAGAACTCCTAACCACACGAGGAAAGCGAGATCTTCAACGGCAACTTCAAACCCTAACTCCACCAAAGCCTAGAACTCCAAGAACTAAGCTTCCAGCTGAATCTTCCTCCACCTAATCCAAAACCCTAGATCTGAAATCTGAGCTCTGATACCACTTGTCGCGCGCCGTGCAGAAGCTTGCTCGACAACCAAACGAGTCGGTGAGCGATGAGAGAAGAAAACCAAAACCAAACACGAATGCAATTCACAAAAGTATGACACAAATTAAACCACAAACACAGGAATTTACGTGGTTCGGCAATTGCCTACGTCCACGGGGAGAGGATGGGAGATTTCACTATATGGAGGAGAAATACAACGGGTTACAACTCACAAAATCACTAAAATATAACCCTAACCAAAGCTCTCAACTCCCTCACAATATCTCCCTCTCAAAGTGCTTAAAACAATGCTAATTCTCTTCTTTTCTCTCCTTAAGAAACCCTAAAAAATGTGGTCCTATTTATAATAAAACACAATCCCAAATAGATTAGGATTCTAAAAACGAGTCTGCCACACCAGGGTGTGGCGCAGACCACACCCATGGCAGACAGGGCAGATTCTGTCACACCAATGTGTGGCGCAGACCACACCCATGGCAGATAAGGCAGATTCTGCCACACCCATGGCAGACACCACACCAGGGTGTGGTGGAGTCTGTTTTGGGTTTTTCTTCATGTTTTTCACAATTTCTTCGCCGTTTTCACAAAACTAAGCTATGGCAACGATAGTGCCTCGCATTGCTGATTCACTGATGAACAATCTCTGAATTCAGATTTTTATGAACTTTAAAGGAGGTGAGTGAATTTTTTTGTTGATGAGGTGAAATCCAACTCTGTTTACAGGTCTAAGGTAAACTTGTTCATTTTGATTTATTAGGTGGTCAGTTCGTTCATGGTTGTAAGAGGAACTTGCTCAGGAGGTTAGTGTTGTTATTTTCTATTTTACCTAATATTTGCTGAAGCTCCATCTTATTCTTTCATTTTTCTTCCTTGTTATTATTATGGGAATTAACTTTACGATTTTATTCATTATGCTCTTGTTTACGAGACATGGCTAGTTTGTGGCTAACATGATCTCTCATTTCTACTTTGCAAAAATCTCTATGAACTAATGCACTTTTATTTGCAACCATGGACATTTGCGTCAATAAAGAGGGAAAAGCGAATCAGGGTGACATTGACTTCATGTTGATTAAAGGTTCATAACATTATAAATGATACCTTTTTTCTTAAAAATATCTTATAATTATGTTAAGGACAAGGCCATTACAACTTTTATTATATCTTCATTATTTTGTACATTGAGTAGTTGGTTGGCTCTTGATATGGCATGGAGAAAAGAGCAAACAATATTACCCAATTTTAATATATTTCATCGGGGAGCTTTTACTTTTACTTTTACTTTCACCTTTGAAACTTCTATGATAGTATTTTGCGAACTGAACCTGCATCATTAGCTTGGAAGGTCACATAGATCTGATTTTTTTATATATGATTTCTTTGGTCTCTATGGGTTTCTTCTTTAGTCATATGCATGTGCTCCTAAATTGAATTGAACAAATTCTTTTTTGAAATAATGCTTCTCCTTTTCTATTTTTTATATATACACTTTACTTACTATGGATATGAACATATAAATGACTTATATCAATGGCTTATAGTATACAGAGATATTGAAAATTAGATAATCTTAGTTGAATTTTGTTTTTCAAAAAGTTTAAAACTTAAAAGAATTCAAAAATAAGGGGGTGGATGACTTTTTATTTCAAAGTTGAAATTAAATATTAGATAGTTTAACCACCGGACTCTCTTTTACGGTATTCCTCTTTATTTATAATATTCTAAGATAAAAAGAAAATTTTAGCTTGCCGAGTGAACGCTTGGATAGTTCTATTTAAAAAATTTAATCAAACTTAGATAGCTTAACCATCAAACTTTCCTTTTATAAAATCTCTCCTTTTTTATAATATTTAGAAAATTAAAAAGGATATAAAAAAAGTCGGCGCTATTTGTATGATCATAACACTGTGGAGATTTGCTAGTCGACAGGGTCATCTTACGTTAACACTTTATTATAAGTTTTCCTTAAGATTTAGTATGAACCTAAAGAGTACATTGAGTTAAACCCAGCAACATGAAGCAATTGAGTAAAATGTCACATTTAGATGAGATAAAAAGTCTTCATATTGATTTAATCTAAAACTTTCTCACCCTTAAACCTCACTCTTGTGATATTTGCATTAAAATTTTAACGTAATTAGAAAAATATGTATGATTTTAAAATATTCATAAAAGAATCTTAAGAGTCCAAATATTTATTCACAAAACAATCTTAAGAACCCATCAGAATTTCAATCTAATTATTAGAAAAAATTTGATAAAGCGAGGAGAATTTGAGATGTTATTTTGGGTAATTAGTGTAAATAATTTGTTTATTATTTGTGGATCACAGAGCATATTTTTACAATAGGAAAGTTTTTTAATTTTTTAGGTCTTTACATGTTATATTTTTTATGATGTCTTTTATTGTATTAATATTTTAAAGAGAGATGGTTGAACCACTAACCCCTCTTTATAAAAATTAATAAAAATGGGGTATGTGGTCTTTTCTAAGTCAAGTATTTGTCGTGTAACATACTAGACCTAATGGTGTTAGCTTCAAGGGCCTAAAGTGAGAAGAGTTCATTGGGTTTCTCGGATTTTCAACTTGAGGGCGGGGGGGGGTTAAGTGAGAAAAGTTTAGGGGGTTATCTCAAATTTTTATTGTTATGGGGGGTTATCTATAATATGCTCAAAATTGAGGGGTTTCTCAAAAATTAAAATAGTTGAGGGGGTTTTCTAAGACACCCCCATAGTTGGGGTTTTTTTTCTAAAATTAACCCATGACTTTCTGTTGAGAGGCTCTCTACGTGAGTTTTTTAGTTAATTTTTATATTTAAATATATGATTATGTGACTTTTTTAAATTCTAGATAGTTATAATTTGATAAGGATTAAAAATATTTTATTATTAGAAATTTCTAATTATAGGTTGTTTTAATTTGATGAGTATTCGGTGATATAAGATTAGGTGTTAATATGTTATTTTCTGATAGGTCAAGTGACATATAGGCATATAGGTAATTATGATATGACACATGTCAGGTTTTTGTGCCTTTACGATATGACACATGTCAATTTTGTGTGAGTTTAGAAGTTTCACCAATTTCTCTTTATAAAGAAGGGATTTGATTAGTTGCTATTGCTTTATTGCAAGACATGACTTTCTCAGTTGCAAATATATATATTTCCAAAGGAATGGGTACTCTCTCATGAATAATATAACAACAAATAGCTTTATCTTTGAAGAACTTTATTGATGTTGCTGAGTTTTTGGTGTAGCAATCAACAAAAAATAAAAAATAAAAAATAAAATAAATAAAAAAAATCAGATAATAACTAATAAATTATCAAACAGCACCTATAAACTAATTTCAGAGAGGTTCACTTTATCCTGCGTTACTCCACAATTTGCACCATTGAGTGCAAGGGAATCTACGACATGAGGAACCTCCTATACCATTTAAAGGATGCCTTGGGATATCGCTTTAATCCCTTAGCATAATCAATATAAATAAGCCCAAATCTTTCACTATATCCTTCGTACCATTCAAAATTATCTGTTAAAGACCATGTGAAATATCCTTTGACGTTAACCTCTTCCCTGCAAATAAAAGAAAATATTGTCACTACGTTGTCAACATGGGCTTTGGTCTTAGCCAAAGTTTTTTATATAGAATTGGTACTCATCGACTATGCAGTGTGAAGCCTGTTATACTTAAATGCATAAATTTCAATCTGAAGCCCAATGATGACCATTTGTTACTGTAAAACTTACTGTATTGCAGTTCGAATTTGAGCAAGATGGAGAGAAATGTAGTCAATTCTATCCTCATCGGCACGTGCTTGTTTAATTGTCAAGGTTCCATTATCCAGTTGTGCAGTTCCTGCAGAAGCAAAACACAAGGAATCAACTTCTTAATACTGAAGATCTGTTACTGATCATTCCTAAAAAAAAATTTAACCCAAGGATTAGTTGTAGATATCCCTTCCCATCTAAGCTTGACTAGCACCTTTCAGCAGTACAGTAGGCAGACATTAGACTGTTTTATGTTTTGTTTTTGTTTTTGTCTCTTTTTCTTTTTGAACGTAAACATAGAGTGAGAAGCCCTACTCAAAATATAAGAAATCGGAGTTTTGTAGGATAATAATTCTTGTTTTAGCTCTTAAAAAGTACTAAACTAATTCTAGAAAAAACCCCTTTCACTTTAGGAGCTTTGCCCGGAAAGCCTAGTGGACTTTATAGATAAAAACAGGGGTTTTGCTATATTAGACCCGAAGATTGTTCTTATTTACTAGAAATTATGCACATAATATGAAAATATGTTGTTTTTGCATTTGTATCTTTAAAATACAAAGAATGGTTTCGTTTTATTTATAGAGTCTGCATTTAATAGATAGGGAGGGAGTGTGAAGATCAAATGCCGTTATATATTTACCTTCATTATTGAAGTTGAAATAGATAATTGATTTTTTATCCTCACTATTTTCTTTACATATTACTGTAAATAGATTGAGAAAAAAATAAATGCATAGAACTTTGGCTTTTCTATAACCTAAAGTATAACAAACATTCAATTATTTTATAATCAATTTATTCACAATTTATTTATTTATTTTGGGGTAGGTAGGGTAGGGTAGGGTAGGGTGGGGTTGGGGGGGGGAGTGTATTCTGTGATTTATAAGAAGTCGGTTGTGAAAGTTATCCTTAAAATTAAATGATTGGTCAAAAGTGAGGATGCTGTCAAAACTTTTTTATGGTTTTGCATTTCTGAATTCTTTACATTGGATATTTGTTAACACATTTGTTTCATCTTCAATGTTTATATATTTTTATTTTGATGCAAACTATTTAACTAAAATTCAGAGGTGGTAACACTAGCAAAATAATTGAGTGATGATAATTGTTAGTAAAAATATATTTGAGGGGGGTTATTTCCAATCTACCCTTTTACCACTAAGCAGAACAATATAATGGTTGAACCATTCATTACTAAGTTCTCATGAAAGAAGGTGTTCATTTGTTCCAATCTTCTATGATTTTTTGTAAACAATCATGTACGTACTGCGTGTTATAATAAATACTAACCATTTTCCGTGATATAGATCTTCGGATTCTTGTATCTTTTCTTCGTATACACTAACAAGTCCTTTATTCCAATAGGAACAACATATATCGAAGAACCTTCCTGTAATCAGAAACATAATAAATAGATATAGTTAAATATAAATTATACAGAAATATGCATCAAGGAAAATCTAAATTAAGCAATGCATGATTTAAAAGTTTCCAATGTTGACATGAGCTCGTACAGTTCTCATGTTATAATCTATATTTTGTTTTTTCTCACTTTCATATCATCATTTGTAAACCTTCAACACCATATGAGATAAGTCATTGTGTCACATATTACATTAACATTTCATTAGCAGTGTCCTTCTGTAGCGACTTATTATCCTTTGCAATGAAACTATATTTTAAAACTTTAACGGATACAGTATGCTCTCTGTAAAGTTCTATTTAGAATGTTTAGTCTTTAGTTTTAACTTTCTTCAGAAATTATTTTTCTTCTAAATTTGTTTCTAATTTACATTAATGTTTTTTGTTATAGACATCTGATCCTATCTCAATCAGTTAAATAATGCATGTGAATAGTTAGCGAATTTGGTTATTTAAAACTTTTGTATGTTTATCTTGCTTAAATATTGAATTACGACAGTGACTTTGGTAAAGATAAAATACATAACATTGCTACTTTGCTATGTTGTTAATGTTTATTTGGACAAAGGAAAAGGAAGCACCTTGATAGACACATGCTATAAGTTATCCAAAATATTTTTACCAAGAAGTAATTAATGGCCTGTTCATAAGCTATTTAAATACAAAAGGAGCCATGCATTTTCATTTAAGTTGGCGTGCTTGTAGTGTTATCCTCGTCAACTATCATGGCCCCAAATGATTGAGAACATCATCACATTTGATGTCGTATAACTTAAATAATAAAGACCGGAACTAAAGAAATATTTACAAATATAAGTTATACTTCTTACCAATTTCCCAATTGGCTTTCCATCTTTTTCATCTGTTGGAACAATGGTCAAAGATAAAAGTGCTTAGTTACTTTCTAAGAAATAAATCTAGATAGAAATATGGTTGCTTATTGCTAAGTGATGGAGAAGGTACCTGGATAGATGGACCACTACATATAAATAAAGCTATGATAATTAAAATCACTATTTATAGCACTCTGTGTCTTACCATTAGGGGTGCATTCGGTCCGGATACGGCTCAGATATGATACTTACCATATCCATATCTGTTTATCCATCTCGAATACGGATACAGATATACATCGGTAAGAAAAATTCATACCCATATCCACTAAAATCGAATACGGTTACAGATATAGATGCGGATATATAAGTGGACATGCATGCGGATACAAAACGGATATGAGAAAACTAGATAGTATTGAGAAAAACATAGTTCACGTGATACAAAAGAGGTCGTTAATATGTTCATTATAACCAAAAATCTAGGATTAGACATCTTGATCATCAAAATTAACCACAAATTCATAATTTAAGAATCAAAACTATCGTCAGAGTATGACTAATATGTATTCGGATATTTCGGATACGAATATAGATATTTTACTATAAAACCATATTCGTAACCATATCATTTTAGTTATAGATTTAAGTAACCATATCCGTATCCTAATGGATATGGTTACATATATTTCCTCGGATTCGGATACGGTTTAGCACCACTACTTACCATATTATTGGTCATGAAATGTTAAAAAGAGATGAGTATGTTGTTATATTGTCAACATGTTGTAAGTACCCAAAATATCATGTCTGTACATATCGACTTCTTTGTTGATAATGTAGATTTGTTAACAATACATACATGTAAGTTCATTCAGACAAGTAAAAGGAAGAGAAATAATGTCCAAGTAAGATTATGATCAAAGAACATAATTATCAGATGAGTGATGACTAATATTTAATAAAGAACATAATCATTATAAAAATGATAACAAATGTAAACTCTATAAAACTTAATTAAGACATTATAATTAAAAAATAAGTTATAGAAAATATGTATTTAATTCATCTTCATATGGGTCATGCCTTAATGGAGTAAATAATCCAATTTTAGTTCTTAAGAATACTTGCATCCTTGAAAGTAATCATATATACTGTGTCTCACTTACAGATCAGCAAGTTAATATTTGATGCACTAACTTCAAAAAAAATATTCTCACTTAAGTATTTGTCGCTTTAGGGATGTTAAATGTCTTAAATCTCATAGAAATTTTGTTAAATTATTTAATGTCATTTAGGCGAAGATTCATCCATATAAAAATAAGGTATTAAAGGATTAATTACATCTAAGTATTATGAGGTATGGTGTAATTACATTGGTGGCTCAAGAGTCTTCATTTGTATACTGATAAATTTGAGATTACTGATCGACTGTAATTATGCAGTGACCTTGGAGTCTATTTATTTTTCCTTCTAAAAGTTACTCGTGTAAATACAATCAGTAATCTTAGCATTACTGATATAGATACACAAACTCCCGAGTCACCTATGTAATTACTGTTAGTCTAAGTGTGTAGACCCAAAGCTGCAATCGAAAAGACGAAGAAAAACAGTCAGAAGACTGTGCGGTCGACCGCAGTGGCAGAGCCGTAGACCGCGTGCACTGCAGGAGACTGAGAAGAAGTTTTCGCTCTGGTCGGTCGACCGGCGTGGCCGCTGCGGTCGACCGCAAATGTGCACAGGACCCTGTAAACAGATTTTTCTCTGGCCGGTCGACCGGCCTTGGCACGGCGGTCGACCGCGAATCGCCCAGACAGTTTCCTGATCTGTTTAGGAATCTGTTTCAACCAGGATTCTATATATACCCCAAACGATTTTAGGGTTTGTACTACATCAAAAAGAGAGCTTTTTGACTGCAAAGAGAGAGAGAATCTCAGAGAGATTTACCCCTTGTTTGAGAGCTTGTATTTTCTTCTTCAATTAATAGAAAGATTGTGTGGTGTGGCTCCCGAGGACGTAGGCACGTTGCCGAACCTCGTTAAATCTGTGTGTTCGTCTCTTTTACTGTTGGAAAGAAGACGACGGAGTCAGATGGTGACTGGGAGGTACTGGATAGGAAGGCTCTAGGGCAAATCCGGTTGTCGCTCGCCAAATCAGTAGCCCACAATATTCTGAATGAGAAGACGACGGTGGGGCTTATGGAAGCGCTCACGAAGATGTACGAGCAACCGTCGATAGCAAACAAGGTGCATCTAGTCAAAACTCTTTTCAAACTCAAGATGGCAGAAGGACAGTCCTTCACGATGCACCTCAGCGAGTTCAACACGATTGTTGATCAACTTATCTCCGTGGACATCACGTTCGATGACGAAGTGCAGGCCCTTCTACTACTATCGCAGTTGCCGGATAGTTGGGCAGGTTGTGTGACGGCAATCAGCAATTCGGCGGGGAAAGAGAAGTTGAAGCTGAATGAGGTTGTTAGCATGATTCTATCCGAGGAGGTTAGAAGGAAATCGTCTGAATCAGAAGGTTCAGGTTCAGCCCTAAGTTTCGAGCAGAGAGGCAGAAGCCAGAAGAAAGGGAACGAGAACAGGAATCGGTCGAAATCAGTGAAGAAGAGGCCGAACTCGAAGGTTAGGTCTATCAAAGGGAAGTGTTGGAACTGCGGCCAGGAGGGCCATATGTCTTCGGTCTGTAAAGCACCAAAGAAGGATGCGGGTGAGCAGGAGGCTCATATCGTGCAGGATGCCTTGATCCTTGCTATGGATAGCGATTCTGATTCTTGGGTCATCGACTCAGGAGCTTCTTTCCACGCCACTGCTAATAGGAAACTACTTCAGAACTATGTAGCAGGGGACTTTGGTAAAGTATACTTGGGGGACAATGAACCTTGCAATATTGTTGGAAAGGGCGACGTTCAGATACAGATAAAGGGCTCTAAGTGGAACTTGAAGAACGTGAGATACGTGCCGAAGCTGAAGAGGAATCTTGTTTCGGTGGGACAGCTTGGAGCAGAAGGCTACGTTTCGACATTCACCGGGGATTCGTGGAGGATCTCCAACGGTACGATGGTTGTTGCCCGAGGCAACAAAACGGGAACTCTCTACCTCACTTCACATGCGAGTGACACCCTCGCAATTGCAGCTGGCAAGGAGAGTACAGATCTGTGGCACAATAGGCTGGGGCACATGAGCGAGAAAGGGATGAAAATTCTACATTCACAAGGAAAGCTAACCGGGATCGACACCGTGGAAGTCGGGGTTTGTGAAGACTGCATCTTTGGGAAGCAGAAGAGGGTTAGTTTCCAGAAGGGTGGAAGGCCACCTAAGGCTCAGAAGCTAGAGTTGATTCATACAGATGTATGGGGCCCAGCCAGTGTGTCTTCTTTTGGCGGTTCGAGATACTACATTACCTTTATCGACGATCACTCGAGGAAGGTGTGGGTTTACTTCATGAAGCACAAGTCAGAGGTGTTCGAGATCTTCAAGAAGTGGAAGGCCATGGTCGAGAACGAGACAGATCTGAAGGTGAAGTGCTTGAGATCAGATAATGGTGGAGAATACGAGCTGGAGGAGTTCAAGAGGTTCTGTGCTACGACTGGGATTCGCTTAGAGAGGACTACTCCAGGGACGCCGCAGCAGAACGGCATTGCAGAGAGGATGAACAGGACCTTGACAGAGCGTGCGCGGAGCATGCGATTACATGCAGGTCTGCCTAAGACATTTTGGGCGGATGCGGTGCATACGGCAGCATACCTTATTAATCACGGGCCATCAGTTCCATTAGATTTTGGGATTCCAGAGGAGGTTTGGAGTGGAAAGAAGATAAATCTCTCACACTTGCGGGTATTTGGTTGCGTGGCTTATGTTCATATCAGTGACCATGTCAGGGACAAGCTAGAAGCTAAGTCACAGAAGTGCACATTCATTGGATACGGCATTGATGAGTTCGGGTATCGCCTTTGGGATGAGAAGAACAGGAAGATCATCAGGAGCCGGGATGTGATATTCAATGAGGAGGTGATGTACAAGGACAGGGATAATGCCAATGATAGCCAAAGCAGTGGGAGCAGCACTACGGATACAGGTGGATCCGAGTACATGGATTTGGAGGAACTTCCAGATGGGGGCGACGATGTCAGTTCTGACCGTAGAACAGAGGAGACTACAGGTGCAGAAGCTACTACCCAGGGCGTGGAGCCTAGGAGGTCATCTAGGGTACCCAAACCAAATCCCAAATACCTCTCGTCACTTGATTATCTACTCTTAACAGATAGCGGAGAGCCGGAGTGTTATGAAGAGGCAGTGCAAGTGAGTGAATCTCAGCAGTGGGAGCATGCGATGCAGGAAGAGATGGATTTTCTACTCACTAATGAGACATGGGAGTTAGCCCAGCTACCTGCGCAGAAGAAAGCCTTGCACAACAAATGGGTCTACCGGGTCAAGCAGGAGAGTGATGGAAGCAAGAGATTCAAGGCCAGATTAGTAGTGAAAGGGTTTCAACAGCGGGAAGGAGTGGACTACACGGAGATATTTTCCCCTGTTGTGAAACTCACAACCATCAGAGTGGTGTTGAGTTTGGTAGCTGCAGAAGACCTCTTCCTTGAGCAGTTAGATGTGAAGACTGCCTTTCTTCATGGTGACTTGGATGAAGAAATCTACATGAAGCAGCCTGTTGGCTTCATTGAAGAAGGAAAGGAAGAGATGGTGTGCAAGCTCAAGAAGAGCTTATATGGTTTGAAACAGGCCCCGAGACAGTGGTACAAGAAGTTTGACAACTTCATGCAGAATAATGGCTACAGAAGATGCAATTCAGATCATTGCTGTTATTTCAAAAGGTTCGAGTCCAGCTTCATTATTTTGTTATTATATGTTGATGACATGTTGGTAGCAGGACCATGTTTAGAAGAGATAAACAGTTTGAAGAGGCAGCTAGCAAAGGAATTTGCAATGAAGGATCTGGGTGCAGCGAAGCAGATTCTAGGGATGCGAATCAGTAGGGATGAAGCTGAAGGGACATTGAGTTTGAGCCAAGCTGAATACATTGAGAAGGTACTTCAGAGGTTCAACATGCAGAATGCTAAAGTTGTTAGCACACCCCTTGGAAGTCAGTTCAAGTTATCTGAGGAGCAATCGCCTAAGACAGATGCAGATAGAGAGCATATGAGCAGGGTGCCATATTCTTCAGCCATTGGGAGTCTCATGTACGCGATGGTTTGCACGAGGCCGGACATCGCCCATGCAGTGGGAGTTGTGAGCAGATTTGCAAGCAATCCAGGAAAGCAGCATTGGGAGGCCGTAAAGTGGATAATGCGGTACTTGAGGGGAACAACGAACAAGCCACTATGTTTTAGGAGGAAGGAGTTGGTGCTGTATACATCTTGCCAAGAATCCAGTATATCATGCCAGAACGAAGCACATCGACGTTAAATACCATTTTATACGCTCGCTGATCGAGGACGGAAAGTTGCACTTAATGAAGATTTTGGGGAGTCAAAATCCGGCAGACATGTTGACGAAGGCAGTCACCATTGAGAAACTGGAGTTGTGCGCAACTTCAGTTGGCCTTCACGAGTAGAAGACGAAGGCGGAGCCACACTACGAGGATCGGCGCGATCGTCGGGATGTTGATTGAAGAAAGAATTTTTTCAGAGAAAAAGATACATGCGAAGAAGGGGAGAGTTCGGGTGAGCTCGATGATGACGCTTTGGTCTCCAAGTGGGAGATTGTTAGTCTAAGTGTGTAGACCCAAAGCTGCAATCGAAAAGACGAAGAAAAACAGTCAGAAGACTGTGGAACACATTTTTCTCTGGCCAGTCGACCGGCCTTGGCACGGCGGTCGACCGCGAATCGCCCAGACAGTTTCCTGATCTGTTTAGGAATCTGTTTCAACCAGGATTCTATATATACCCCAAACGATTTTAGGGTTTGTACTACATAAAAAAAAAGAGCTTTTTGACTGAAAAGAGAGAGAGAATCTCAGAGAGATTTACCCCTTGTTTGAGAGCTTGTATTTTCTTCTTCAATTAATAGAAAGATTGTGTGGTGTGGCTCTCGAGGACGTAGGCACGTTGCCGAACCTCGTTAAATCTGTGTGTTCGTCTCTTTTACTGTTTTTACAAGGTTAGATCTTTATTTGTGGTTTATTCCTACTTTCCTACTTTCAACACAAGGTCCGGAAGGGCAAGGGTTCGATTGATTGTTTCGAATCCCCAACAATTACCTCATACCTTATTATATCTGAGTGTATCCTAAAAATGATTAAATGGATGTATATATAATAAATATGATTTCAATTTGACACGACACCAGAAAAGTTGAACTACGTTGTCATGCAAATTTCATGTTTAAGATATATAGGGTGTTACTGTTTAACATATAAAAACATTTTCATGTATAGTATCCTCACTGTACTTCATTATCAAATTAACTTATGAGATATATACGAGCAAATAATGTAATCAACCATTTTTGGAAATGCAAGGACATACTTAATTGTGTAGCATAGGATTCTTCTATAGTGTTTGAAGGCTTGAAAGTGTTGGGCGTTGGAAGGGCACGTGCATAAGCCGAGGTATAATAATTAAGCCCCATGAAGTCGTAGGATCCTTTAATCATCTCTGATTCCTTCTTTGTGAAAGATGGAAGCCTATCCCCAACTATAAGCCTCATAATGAATGGATAATCTCCATTCACCAATGGATCCATGAACCTGAGTCCAGTTACATATTTTCATAAACACAGATAAATGTCTATTTAAATGTTTAGTAAAGAACATAGATTGTATGATTATGAAATTAATCAAGACATGGGAATTACCATCCGAGCATAAAGTCGATAGATCTCTGTGCTGCTGCTTTGTCTTCATGTGAGTTTGAATATGGTATAAACCACGTGGTAATTTGTGTAATTCCTATCTCCCCTCTTTGCACAGCCTGAAATTTTGTCAGGCATACCGTATGAGATTATGCTTGCCCTTGTTAAACAAAGCAATTTGTTTAAACTACTTCATAAAGTTGAATATTAGTTGTTAAGAGTGCGTCGTACCCGTTCAGTTAAGTGTGGATGTGGTTTAGGAAAAGAAAAAAAAAATGAGGTGTGATTTAGTCCAATACTGGAAAGATAAAATGATAGATATGGATCAAGTATATACTTGAATTCATGACTTGTACACGATATTGATCTTTTCGAGTCAACCGGGCCTAAATAGATTAACTCAATACATCTCTAGTTAATAGATCCTTCCAACCGTAACAAATTGTTTTGTGCCGCTGGTTGTATCGGCCTTTGTTAGATATTTTATTTCTTTCAATTTTCTTTTCATGTTTTTCCGTTTTATCTGTAAAATATTTAGTTTGGACGCTATCTTCATTAGTCATATGTTCTGGGCTCCATTTAGGCTCAAACGGATTCAAGCCAAGATGGAGAGATGTTTAAGTCTCTATTGGACGTAGACTTGTTCTTATTAATGTTGTCCTTAATAGTATTCCTCTCTACTATGTCTTTTTATAAACTGCCTTGTTGGCTCATCATAGAGATTGGTAGAACAAGAGGAAATTAATTCCTTATGGGTGGGATCGAGTGCAGATTTTATTTCTTTTAAATGCCTTGTCAAGTGGTAGGATGTCTGTTGGAGTAAGCAGGAAGGAGGCCTGGGGGTGAAAGATACCTCTCTTTTCAACAAATTTCTCAGTGTTAAATGGAGCTATGGAAATCAGTCAAAAATGATTTTCTTGCAGGTTTAATCCTGGCTTCTCTATATAACAGGAAGTGGCTTATTAAAGTTGGGTAAGTAAAGTTCTTCTAATTCTTATTTTTGGAATTCTGTTCTCTTTCTCAGTGGCTCCTTTTCCCCTCTGCTTCAACTGAAGTTTAGGTAAGGGGAAGTCTATGCGTTTGTGTGAGGACACATGGATAGGTGTAAATTCCCAATCTAGTCTATTCCCCTGGCTGTATGACCTTGCATGGTTCAAAAATGTCAACGTTAGAAGCCAAGGTTTCTCCTGAAATCGACTGTGGATTTTGGCAACCTCATCTTCGAAGATCTAATTCAGTTGATATCCTGGCAGACAAAGTGAAGTTCCTTCACCGCCTTTAATTCAGACCTAAATTCATCTGTTTCTCAAGATGAACCTCTCTAGGGCACTTCTGACATTTTCTCTGTGAACTCCTCCTATAAATTCACTGGAGGTGTTGCATATAATCTCAAGGGACTAGTCTTGAACCCTATCCTCCCTGGCAAAATTAGAATCTTAATATGGATTCTCTCAAAAAACAGATTACATACCAAAGATAATCTGAGCAAGAACGAATGGTGCGGTGAATTTTCATGTATATTTTGTGGGCATGACTGGGAAACAGCTGACCATGTCTTCCTATCATGTCCTTTACCTACACGGATATGTGAATATATCTCAGAACGCGTTTGATTTAGTCGCTTGGCCTGAGGCTTTACCGACCATGATTAGCTCAATCATCTCAATGTCAGTTGGCTCAAACTTGTTTTGGCTCTCTGTTCTTTGAACAGCATGTTGATATATTTGGGCTGCTAGATACACTTTTCTTCATAAATGACTGGTCAGGGGTATCAAATGTCAAAGCTGTGAGGAAGAGAAAGAAGGCCTTGGACGAGCACCCATGCTCACGATTCAGGAAAGGAGGGATCAGGTGAGGAAGTTTTGGCTGTAGATCTGCTGAACACCTAAGGATCTGAATCTATATATTTTTGTTTTCTTTGGGGACGAGCTGCATGGTTGTTTTTCCTTTGGAGAGAAGCTGAACACTAATGATTCACGCAGGAGGTGTTGGTGTCTTGGCGGAGAATACTTTTTTTTTCCTTTTTCATTTTATGTTATGTTGTTTTCTGAATTTGAATGATCGTCATTAGAACTCTTGTTTCCATACTATATGTCAAGGACTGGCTTCGGTCTCTCTGTGTAGTGACTGGACTGTGGTGAATGACGACAAATTTCGCTCTTTAACCTCATAAATGCACATAGGGAGAAAGACTTCCAGCTCAAGCGATTAGAAACCTCCAGTCCTCTCTATAAACGGGGATGTTCCCATGGTTAAAAAAAACTACATGTGGAAGAAGAAGGGAAAGGAAAAAGAAAAAAAAATTAATTGACAAAATATGAGTTTCATGAGTAGGCAGATTAATGGTGACATTTTTTTTTGCATCATATATGCTAATTATAGACATTGATTTAACTTGGCTCGGTTCACACTGAAAGAGCAAGATTGAACTTAGTTTTAGTTTATACGGGGACAAAAGACCAAAGGTAGATAATTAGCCTTATAAAAACTTTGGTACGTATACTAATACATGAAATACCTTGAAGTTGTGTCTATAAAGTGCAGCAGCAGCTCCGTGAGCCAATATCATGTTGTGAGCGACGATGTAAGGTTCAGTGAGAGAGTTGCCAACACTACATCCTAACGTTTTACTACCACGCCCGGGTGCATTAATCCCAACCGAATAGCCCAATGTACAAAAGCTCCATGGCTCATTCAATGTGATCCAATGCTTGACTCTATCTCCAAATTCTTGGAAACACACTCGTGCATAATCCTTGAAATCATCCCTGTTAAAAAAAAAACCTCCTTTTAATCACAAAAACTACAGTTTGATTTCAGCTCACATAGTTGGATTTGTTACTCACACAATTTTACGATTGCGAAATCCCCCATATTTATCTTCCAGAGCTTGTGGTACATCCCAGTGGAAGATTGTCACAAATGGTGTTATGCCTGCATATGTTTGTCAATGAAAAATGTACAGGATTTTGATAGTAGATGAAATCATTCACAGGACATATCAAGGAAGGATAATACTAACTAGATTATGAACCTTAAACTATTTTTGTACTGCTAGAAGTAAACGTTTAGAGTCTTTCCACTTAATTTAGAGAAATTACCTTTTTACCCAAAGTCATGGAAAAGCTATGGGGCGCATAATGCGTTTGCTCCCGGCCCCAAGTGAAAATAGCACAAGACGCCCATTCAAAATATATATTAATATAAACAACCTTTGATATGCATCCTTATAACAGACTAGTATCTATACTACTTATAAAAGAGAATACTCATGTCAAAACTTTTAATTTCCTATTTTGCCCTTTTAAATTTTGATAATTCGCAATTATACCATTGGTTATAATTAATCCTTAGTGTAAATTGTGTAAGAAATTTATTTGGAAAAGCTCTTATTAATCAGCATTTCCTTAAACAGCTTGAACCTTAGTGTAAATTGAGCAAAGATGTGTCTCACATCTCGAATATTAGATCATCTTCTAATATTGCTATTGTGTTTACAAAATAAGTTTGTTCATGCATAAGGTTATAATGTTTTCACTCTATTAATCCACGTTGGGTATCTGCTATTTTGTAAATTTGACCCCCTATGTCTGTATGTTTGTTTCAGCTTTAAATGCTGATGATTAATATAGACTTTGATAAGGTAATTAAATTTGAAACATGATATCTTGTCGATTCTCGGAGTGGAGATCCCACTCTTAGTTTCATCTTTTTGGATTCTAGGAGTGGAGATCTCGCCTTGAGTCTCCTTTCCAGCTGAAGATAGAATATAAAATTCTTTTTCCTCAGTGTCGGGAGATAGAATATAAAATTCTTCCTCTTCCATTTCGGGTTCGTCTTTGCCCCAAGAAGAATACTCATGTCAAAACTTTTAATTTCCTATTTTGCCCTTTTAAATTTTGATAATTCGCAATTATACCATTGGTTATAATTAATCCTTAGTGTAAATTGTGTAAGAAATTTATTTGGAAAAGCTCTTATTAATCAGCATTTCCTTAAACAGCTTGAACCTTAGTGTAAATTGAGCAAAGATGTGTCTCACATCTCGAATATTAGATCATCTTCTAATATTGCTATTGTGTTTACAAAATAAGTTTGTTCATGCATAAGGTTATAATGTTTTCACTCTATTAATCCACGTTGGGTATCTGCTATTTTGTAAATTTGACCCCCTATGTCTGTATGTTTGTTTCAGCTTTAAATGCTGATGATTAATATAGACTTTGATAAGGTAATTAAATTTGAAACATGATATGAATTGGTTCCTTTTTATGTCTCATACCCTATAAGTTCAGGACTTTCAGGTATTGGCCAATCTAATTATCTAAGAATCCTAGGACATAAATCTCTTATTATGTCATTTATGTGGGTTTCATGAATATTGGTAAAATCTAAACCAGCTTAATTTAAAATCTAAATCATCGATTCACTTCATCATTTTACGGTTCACACTTAAAATTTTCAATACTGAACGAGTATACCCACGTGCAAACGCATGTGCACTTTACTAGTTTGATCAAAATCCAAAGAATGCCATAGTGAACGAGATAGAACACTGTCTCTGTTTGTTAGCCATGTAATGTCTCTGTTTGTTACACAATCACAACCAAGGTAATTGACATGTAATGTCTCTGTTTGTTAGCCATTGGCTTTGATTGGACCCCCAAGGTAATGATACATATCATTTTATTCTATCGTTGACCCTAGAAAATTCGAGACAAAAAATAAATGTTTTAAAATTTTGTCAGAATTTATCACTTATCAAGACCCCATACTTTAATTTCTAATAGTAAAAATACTTAAGAGTTTGCTGTTTGATATCACTATTACTAGGAGTAACTCTTCTTGTCTTACCATTTTCAATTAACTTGTCAATGAGATTATTGTAATACTTGATTCCCTGTTCATTTACTCCTCCTTTTACGGTCCCATCTACAAGCACAAGGAAAAAAAATTAGCAAAATATAGGGTGGAAGACAAATGATTTGCACAAGACAATATATTATAATAACTATTTGTTATTTATGAATGAAATAAGATCAACGTGGAGAAGTTTGCAAAATGGTCCCTTATACCTCCATATTTAAAGGCACTCAGAATATATTATAGAAGAACCTTGCTATTTGGCACCCAATATGGGCGCGCAGTCCATCTCGCATGCTACAAATAGGGGGTGGGACCAAAATCAGGCTGTGGGTCCCACCCCTGTTGTGGCACGCGAGATGGGCTACGCGCCCATCTTGCATGCCAAATAGCATTTTCGATTATAGGAAATATGAAAAGACGAAGTAGTTAAAAGAATTTACCTGGCAATATCCTTGACCAGGAGACAGAGAAACGGTAAGAATCGACACCCATCTGCTTCATGAGCTTTATATCTTTCTGCAATAATTTTTAGTTATTATGTAATTAGTTCCTGTATATGTATATATATGCACATGGTTCTTGTTGGTAAGCATGTAGTCATGATCTTGTTTCCTCAATTGCTTACTTTGTATTTGTGATATGCGTCCGTGGCTACATCTCCATTACTCCCGTCCTTAATTTTACCTACAAAAGCAATAATAAAAGTTAACTAATTTTATACAAATCTTTTAATACGTAGATAGCCCGCATAAACTCCTTCAAGCCACTCATTATAGTTTTGATATTTCACTTTATATATCTTTTTTTAACGTTAAACCTCTACCCAAAATCTTCATGTTTAAAATTTTATTATCAAAGTTACTGTAAATTTCCATGATTATTCTTCTGTTGCTTCTTTCCTTTAAAAAAAATTTGAAATTTACAAATAGTTTGCTTTAAAATCTTAAAATTATAAAAACACCCTAAAAAGTACAAAAAACTACAAATGGTGGTTATAAAGCTATCTGCAATTTTCAAATTTTTAGGTAAGTCAACTTGTGGTCATAAGTCGACTCATGCACAGGCATAAGTCGACTTATGGTAAGTCAACTTGTGTCTATGCACGAGTCAACTTACGTTCTGTTCTGGAATTATTGGTTTTGGCTCTGTCAAGTCGACTTATAGACACTGTTAAGTCGACTTATGATCTGTTCTCCAGTTGTTGATTTCGCTCTGCCAAGTCGACTTATAGAGCCTGATAAGTCGACTTATGTCGGGTTTTCTGCACAGTTTGAGTTACTATTTGGATTCTGTTTGGGTTTCTGTTTTGATATACATAGGAACACGATTTTGAGGATTTGGGAGTAGTGAATTGGGGATATTTGGAGCACAGAAAAGAGGTATTTTCTGAGCTATTGGTTAGCGTTTTATTTGGAGAGAATTAGAGATCTGTTGGTGAGGTTAATTGGTAAGTTCGAGTGATTTGTAATATCAGTTTGTACTCTTCTTCTCTTTTAGTGAAAACCTCATGCCCTTCTTACCCGTGGACGTAGGCAACTTGCCGAACCACGTTAAAATTGGTTGTTTGTGTTTGTGTCGTTATTTTATTATGTTTTGCCTTTTCTCGGCGCTTGTTTGGTTTGGTTTCTCGAAGCACATAGGTTTGGTGGCTTCTGCGCGCACAACAAGTGGTATCAGAGCTTGGGTTACGCTTGGACTAATTGGAGTAGATCGCTTTGGAAGTTCGTTTAGGACTTCAGTTTGTAATAAAGGTGTGATTTTTTCTATTTGTGGATCTCGTTTCTGTCGTGTGGGGTGAGATCTTTCGGAGGCCCTTGTTAGGGTTTCAGTTAGAGGTAAAAATCTCTCTTTTTCAGTTTGGATCTATTCTTCGTTTGATCTGTATTGTTTTGTTGGTGCTTTGAGAAAGATGGTCGAGAAAGAAGAAGTTGTGGAGGGTACTTCCAGCGTGAAGATCGTCCAAAATTTGAATATCCACTGTATGAAGATAGATATGGAGAAGTTTAATAACACAAACAATTTTGATTTTTGGAGATGTGAAGTTTTGGATGCGCTCAATGCGCAAAATTTAGAGGATACATTAGAGTTGGACGGGAAACTGGACGACATTGAGGAGAAGGTTTGGAAGAAGATGAATAGAACGGCGTGTGGTGTGATTAGATCTTGTTTAACTCAAGATTTAAAATATGATGTGATTAATGAGACTTCGGCTAAGAAGATTTGGGAGATCCTAGAGAGCAAGTATTTGACGAAGAGTGTGGAAAATCGTTTGCATTTGAAGAGGAGGCTTTATCGCTTCTAATTGAAGAAAGAAACCTCCATTGGTGATCACATGAACCACTACACAAACCTTCTTGCGGATTTGGTGAATGTAGATGTGATGATTAAAGATGAGAACAAGGCATTGTTATTGTTGAGTTCTTTACCCGACGAGAAATATGAGACATTCGTTCTTACTCTTATTAATGGGAAGACATCTCTTTTGTATAGTGAGGTCACCGCTACACTTGTGAATTATCAGTTTCGAAAGAAGGATAAGAAGACTTCAGTTGAGCCGGTAGCGTGGGCATTGGTTACAAGAGCAAAGAGTTCAAACCGTGGTAAGAGATCACAGTCTAGAGGGGCACGTCCTGGAGTTTATAGGAATCAGTGTGTCTTTTGTAAAGAGGATGGACATTGAAAAGCCAAATGCCCAAAGTTGACAGATCGAGCCGGGAAGAATAAGGGGAAAGCTGTTCAAGCTTCAGAGGTGAATGTTGTAAAGGCTAGTGGCGACAATTCAGATTCGGATTCTTCGGGCTATTCGTGCCCTGCATTACCGTCAGTTTGTGTTGCCGACTCTACAGAGTGGATGTTGGATTCGAGTGCTTCTTACCACATTTGTCCTGGAAAGGATTGGTTCTTCAGCTTTCAAGAGTTGGAAAGAGAGGATGTCATGCTCATGGCTAATGATCATGAATACCCTATTGGTGGTATCAATACCATTCATATTAGCATGTGTGACATGGTGATTCGGGAGTTGGCTGAAGTGAGATTCGTTCCGTAATTAAAGAAGAATATCATTTCATTTGGAGTTTTGAAGGCAGCAGGCTATCAGGTGATCTTAGAGGATGCATCTTTGAATGTCACATTTGGGTCCATGATTGTGATGAAGGGCGTCAGGAAGAAGAATTTGTATTATTTGATTAGGAGCACGGTGATTAGTAGAGAGCTGACGACTTCTTTGGATTTAGCTAGACTGTGGTTTTTGTTGAGGCTGGTATATTTGATTGGTTATGCCGTGCATGGTTTGTTGAGGAGTGCTTTGACCTGTAGATTGAAGTCCTTTAAGCATATTGGTATGAGCAAGAAGACCGAGGTGGAGTTTGGCACTTCTATCCATCGATCGAGGGGTCTTTTAGGTGATGTTAATTCAGGCATTTGGGAGCCTTCCAAGGAGGTATCATTAGAAGGTAATCTGTATTTGGTTTTCGTAGTTGGGGACTGTTCTAAGTATTGGTGGATTACAACCAAGTCCCGTTGGTGTGAAGTCCTAGAAGTCAACAACAGATGGAGGAAGTGTATTGACAAAAAGGTAACCAGTTGTTCTGGTTTTGGTAGGAGTTCTTTTTTGCATTTGTACCGAGCTCACGATATTTTAAGATACTTCATTGGAGAGGAAACATTAGGGTGACGAGATGAGATAACAGTTTTGATGTGTCGTTCCTTGCTGGAGGAGGATCGGCGTTAGTTGTCGAGCATTGGATTGCAAAGGAGTTTTCGGGATTTGACATATTTGAGTCATCTTAGTCATAGGTTGCCGACTGCTTGTGTGGAGATTTTGGATCTAGTGGAGCTGATTCAGATTTTAGGTTGCGTCGGATGTTTGGTTGCCCAGCATTTGGTCACATCGAGGATGTGAGACTTGATCCGATAGCATATTTTGGATTCAGAGGCTCGTTTGGTTATTAGTTGGAAGACTCTGATTTTGTTCTGAGTATGTATGTCACATCTAACTCTCAGCAGGTGAAGAGTGTTGATCAGATCGTTGGGATATCACAGCAGGTAGAGTGTGATGCTACCCCACGTTAGGTGGAGATTACTCCACATACTCTAGATCATACTGCATCGTTTGGGATTCTAGTTGAGGTGACATAGTTTGGGGATCATTTGGATTTGAATATAGATGATAAGTTGGTTAATTCGAGTTGGATATGGTCGTTGGTTCATCTCAGGTGGAGGTTTTTAGTTTGTTTTATTTTGGGACCATTAGGAGAGCTATCGGTCGTAGATTTGTTGGTGAAGAGTTGAGAACTCTTCTATTTGATTAAGGGTCTTTGAAGGTCATTTGGGTGAACTAAGTGAAGGCTTGATTCCTTGGGCAAGAAGATACGTAGGCAGTCATTTTATGATACAGCCGGTTTGGTGAGTTGATACCCACGTTTGAAGAGTGATCGCATTCTCATTTGGGTCTCGATTTGTTGTGGATTGAGTCCATTGTCATGGTTTTGTTCCACTTCGTACTAGACGTAACAAGTGGGACGTTTGGTTGGTATTAGTTTCGGCTCAATTTTGGTGTGTTTCTGTAAAATTTGGTTTTTTTAGGGTGTATCTTGCAATTTTAAAATTTTGAGGTGTTTACTATTTCTAAATTTTAATGTTTTCGGGGAGTGTTTCTATAAAATGTTGACTTATTTTGGGTTTTTTTTGCAACTTTAAAAACTATCATGATGTTTTTTTGCAAATTTCAAAACTTTCATGGTACTATTTATAATTTATAGATTGTGTACTTTTTGTAGATTTATATTTTTTAGGTGTGTTTTTGTAAAATTTGACTTCTTTAGGGTGTATTTTTATAGCTTTTAAAACTATTAGAGTGTTTTCTATAAATTTCAAAATTTTCATGGTAGTGTTTATAAGTTTTAGATTTTGTATTGTTTTTCAATTTTGATATTTTTGGGGCTATGTTTTCATAAATTTGACTTTTTGAGGGTGTATTTTGCAATTTTTGAAACTTTTAGTGTTTTTTTTCAAATTAAAAAAAACATTCATAGTATTGTTTATGATTTCTATATATATTTTTTTAGTGCTTTGTAAGTTTGGATGTTTTATGATTTTAGGTAAATTTTGAATTTTTGAGGATGCTTTTTAATTTTCAAACCTCTTAAGGTGTTTTCTGCGAATTATAAATTTTTTATAGTGTTAGATGTAGTTTATACAGCGTTTGTAAGTATTGATATTTTACGGGTGTGTTTTTAAAATTATGAATGGTAAGGATTCAATGATAAATGTGTTAAAGTTAAATGGGTTGCTGGATTAATCCATTTATGTCCCGATCCATATAAAGTAACGCATATCAATATATAACAGGTCGGGTCAGGTCAGGGAGTTACGTCATAAATTGCCACCCTTATGTGGAATGCCATTATGGACGGGTTGCAATTTGATCGGAGAGCTCCACTTGGGACTCAGTTGCTAACTATTATTGTAGCTTGTTAAATGGGAACGGTTTCAATCAAAAATTGAAGACTTTGGCACTCTCTACTGTTGGGAATTAGAGAGGAGATGAGGAGATAATCTTTTCTCTATTTATTCATAAACTGAAGGTGCCTTTTATAGGCTTACAAAAACAACTTAATCCCATAAAAATCTAAACTAATTAGCAACAATTCCACTAACAACATAACAACTAAAGACAAAGTCAACTTTGAATCGATCTTCAACATTCCCCCTTGATTCAAAGTTTCTTGTTATTCCTCTCGAATCTTCATAGAGCACTTCTCTCCATAATCTTGTAAAGCACTTCTCTTCACTTTGTGATGCACTTCTCATCTCAATCTTGTTGATGCACATAATCACCAACATTCTCTTAAAGGAGCACTTCTCTCAATCTCTCCATGGTGCACATCTCACCATGATTCCTAGAGTAGAATTTCTTCTACAACTGCTTGTGCCATGTTTGCTTGTTCTTCACGACAATATTTTTGGATATGACCAAATCTCTTGCATTTGTGACATTGAGGTTTTCCTTTATGCCAACAATCCTTCTCCTCATGACCAAGTTTCTTACAATTGTTGCATTGGACTCCTTTGCCTTTTCCTTTTGAAGATGAAGTCTTGGCTAATAAGGCTTCTTCAAAATTTTCACCATTTTCTTCATTCCTCATTGCTCTCCTTTGGTCTACGGCACTGAGGGCATTGACTAAATCCACTAGAGTTATTTTTGATAGGTTTTTAGAATCTTCAAGTGAGAAAATTTTAGACTCGTACCTTTCGGGAATAGTCACTAAAATCTTATCAACCACTCTTTCATTTGAAAATGTTTCACCAAGCAATCTAATTTGATTGACAATAGCCATAAGCTTACCGACATACTTTTTGATGGTCTCATCTTTCTTCATCTTTTGCATCTCAAACTCCCTCTTAAGATTCAGAACTTGCATCAATTTTGTTTGATCGTTGCCTTCGAACTCTTCCTTTAGCATCTCCCACGCCTCCTTAGGTGATTCACAAGTCATTATACTTGTGAAGATTCCATCCGACACGGCCGAATGAATACAAGAGAGGGCTTTTGGCTTCTTTGCTTTTTCTTCGTCGTGCTTCTTGATTTGTTTTAGGGTTGGATTTTGTGGAAGAGGGGTCGGCTCATAATCACTCTCAACAACCTCCCATAAACTCAAAGCTTTCAAATGAGATTTCATCTTGATAGCCCAAGATTGATAATTGTCTCCATTGAGGATGGGGTATGGAAGTGAAAAATTGTCGGATGCCATTGAAAAACAAAGATTGATCACTCTATTTTTTTTTAATCCTCACAAACCATAGCCGAGAGCGCCACAGTCACTCTCTCAACACAGTATGGGCTCAACATTCATCGGTTTAGAGCTTGGTGCAGCACTTAAAATTAATGACCTTGATGTCACTATGGTGTACCCTGAACCTTGGTGCATGCCCCGGCTTTTTACTTCAGGAATTGCTTCTTTCTATGAGGGTTATTATGCAAAGAAGGAAATCCAGACCCAGCTTGAGAAGCGTGTACAGATACCTTGAGCAGCGAACCTTGAACTTGACCACGTCCTTGCTCCTCTTGATCTCCAGAGCTCATTCCCCCTCCTCTTCAATCATCATCAGCCATGCCAAAACAAACAGGCTCTGATACCATGTTGGGAATTAGAGAGGAGATGAGGAGATAATCTTTTCTCTATTTATTCATAAACTGAAGGTGTCTTTTATAGGCTTACAAAAACAACTTAATCCCATAAAAATCTAAACTAATTAGCAACAATTCCACTAACAACATAACAACTAAAGACAAAGTCAACTTTGAATCGGTCTTCAACATCTACTACAGTTTATTATCTTTGATAAGAGAGAAATTGGGGCATTTTATAAGCATGGTGCTAGAAGTGGTGAAGTTCTGATCAAGATCATAAAAATCTATGCTTACTAATTTCTGTAACAGCTCTGTTTCAGTTGAGTATATCTAAAGACTACCGGATGAAAAGCTGTTTGCATTAGACGTTTTTTCTTCTTGATCTGTTGTGAGCTTGAAGCTCTGTTCATTTGCTGCAGAGCCATTGATGTACATAAACTCTTGGTGAATGAACAATAATTTTCCATTAACCAAGAAAAAAAAGGTACCTTTTTGCTGGTGGTTAAATGTGTCCCATATACTTGGTCCTTTGCCTCCTTCATTCCACGCTCCTTCTACCTGCACCTTCATACGTCTATTAATATTCTTCTATATAATATTGGCAGGACAAAGACTATGTCCCCGGAAAAGAATATAAGAATAAAAAACACAAGATCGAGATATTTAGATCCAATATTGTATATAAATTTTAATTTCTTCACTGAAAACAAAAATCTTCATAACTTTCACACGATCATCCTAATATTTACAAGAGAGAGAGAGAGAGAGAGAGAGAGAGAGAGAGGGAGACCTGGTATGCAGAAGTTGCGGTCCCAAAGGCAAATCCCAAAGGAAAACTGGACCTTCCAAGAACTACACCAGCCGGAACTGCCTTGCCTGCCTCCTCCTTCAAAGGATCAGTAGCAGTTGCGGTTTCATTAACAGAGCTAATAATGCGAAGCGAGCTCCTTCTCCTTCTAATTTGACAACGAGTTCTTATCTCATTCGTCGCAAGAGGAGTCCCCCTTCCTTTGCTTCTGACAGAGGAAAGATGAGAAACGTCATTAGTTGCTTGAATTCGAGCATATCGGAGTTTAGCCATTTTACTTTTTCTCTTGATTGTTGTGCATCTTTAGCCACTCGCCCGCCTGCTTATATAGAGGTAGCCGCCATCAACAACGCAAGCTCAGGTCAATGGGCAACTACTCAATTCTCTTATGCGCCGTTGGAAACTAAATAGTAAATAAATGTGCTTGTATATATATATTTTTTTGAAGTAAAAATAAGACAAGATACCCTATTCAAAAGATATATTATATATAGAATTTGATATATGCATTTGGTCCTGATATGGTTCGGATATGATGCATTTGGTCCTGATATGGCTCGGATATGATGCTTATCATATCTATATCTGCTTACACATTTCGGATACGGATACGAGTACATCTCGGTAAGAAAAATTCATATCCATATCCTCTAAAATTGGATGCGGTTACAGAAATAGATGCGGATATATAAGCGGATATGTAAGCGGATATAAAACGAATATGAGAAAACTAGATAATATTTAGAAAAACATAGTTCATGTGATACAAAAGAGGTCGTTAATATGTTCATTATAACTAAAAAACTAAGATTAGACATCTTGATTATCAAAATTAACCATAAATCCATAATTTTAGAATTGAAACCATCGTAAGAATATGACTAATATGTATTTGGATATTTCGGATACTGATACAGATATTTCACTACAAAATCATATCCATAACCATATCCTATCTATTATAGATTTGAGTAATCATATCTGTATCCTAACGGATACGATTACGGATTTTTCCTCGGATACGGATACGGTTTAGCAGCCTAATAACTACATCAATTGAAAGGATGATGGAAAGTTAGAATGGAAAGAAGAAAAGGACCGTAGCCTTCACCCATTCCCCCAAACCAAATGCCGAAATCCGAACAAAAGCGTAGGAAAATGCATATAAGTGTAAATTTAATAAACGTGCTGGTATTACCAGAAGTGCTTGTATTAAATAAACTAGCTAATATTAAAAGTCAAGCTAGGACCAAAGAAGTACGTTTTGACACGATTAAACTAGTGGAGACCACGGACAGTCACATAGGGGTATTAAAAAAACCCTATGCGGCTATGCCCATCGCCGCCGGGTACGACCGCGATGGGCATAGGGGTATTTTTTGCAAGCACTGGGAACAAACGACTAGCTGGTTTCGAGTCGAAATTTCCCTAGGCCACTGGGAATGAGATATCACAATTGTTAATTGGTGTTGAGGTAAATTTATAGACCACCACTTATTATACATGTCCAAATAAAGACCAAAGTTACTGTTTTGTAAACCGGACCCATATGCTTAAAACGCAAATTTTTTGGTCTAAATTAAGTTCCATTTTTTTTTCGAAAAAAAATTCTGTATTTATTACGCTACTGCATTTTGTAAGCGCCTCGATTTCTACATTGTAATATCCACTAACCTTACATGTGGTTCAAAATTAATACATGAAATTTTCATTTTTGTGAGAAACCCCAAAAGTTTAGGTGATATTATAAAATAAATAAAGTTTAGGGGTTTTATGGGAGACACCCTTAAAAGTCCATGTGGTTTGTGATGTAAACCCTATTCAAATCAAGAGATGCCCTTTACTCGATAAGTACAAAACAAACATATGCTAACTGAACTATGTCATAGCCCAATATAAACTAGACCAACCGAACACGCTAGCCACAGATTCAAAGTATTCTCCAATCACCATCATTCATTATCAAATTGTACTCTTCAAAAAAAAAAAAATCAATCAAAAGGACTAAAAATTTGCTGAGTAATGGATCCATGACAAAACATTCCAAAACCTAACCCCCTAACTCTACCAAACTTTGACTAACACCCAATAAGCATGCTCTAATCAATCCTATTGCCTTTATAACACTCTCTTTGCCTCACGGGAAAAAAAAAAGCAGGATATCATATATATAATATATATATAGTATATATATATATATATATAATATATCATACTATATATATATATTATAACACACAGTGCTTTCAAGTGTGGATTGGTGCGTTACCGCCGCTGGCAGTCGCCGGCCCGGCGCCCGGCCGCGGGACCCGGAAACCGGGGGGCCAGGCCTGGGTTTTTTCCCCCGGCCCGGGTCCGGTTGGCCTCAGCGCGCACCGGCCCGGTCCCGGGTGGCCTCAGCGGCGCCCGCCCGGCGCCGGTACAGTGCGCACGCCCGGGTCAACGCCCGGCCGGGCAAGCCGCGGGACTCGGAGCCCGGCCCGGGTGGCAACGGTCACCAGGGTGACGCGTTGCCGTGAATTTAAGGCCGGGCCGGGCGCCGGGCGCGGCCCGGTAACAAACTGGCCCAGATTGGCCCTTTGACCGTTTTTGCCCCCCAAAACGGTCAAAAAACGGCTATTTTGTGAGGTTATTTTGGTCATTTACCTAGGGGGCTGGTTCTATAAATAGAGGGGGGTTTTCATTTGTTTTCTTCACACCAAAAACTCATCTCTTCTCTCTTATACTCTTATACTCTTATACTCTCTCTTATACTCTCTTATTTATACTTTCTAATCCAATCCCCGAATGGCTTCCGGATCTGATTATGAAGAGCAAAACATATCTCCCGATCCTGAATTGAGTCCTCCTACTATGAGTCCTCCTACTATGAGTCCTCCTACCGAAGTTAATCCCGAATCCGGTGGCGACGAATCTGCACCAAGAGCTCCTAAACGGCCAAGATCCGATGTGTGGAATTTTTACGAGAAGATCGACGTCACCAAGGATGAACACGGTAGGATCCTCACCCAGAAGGCTAAGTGTGCTTTGTGCGGCAAGATTTTTCAAGCTCATCATAAGAGCGGCACCAACCACCTCAAACGCCATTTAGATAAACACAACAAAGGCCAGACTCCTCAAGGTGATATCCGACAATCTATGATTTCTCAATCCTCCTCTTCTGGTAGTCTCGGTAGTTGGAACTATGACGCTGCCAGAGCCAGGAAATGCGTAATCAGGTTTATCATTCTTAAAAACCTTCCTTTTAAATTAGTAGAAGATGATGAATTTGAAGATATGTTTAGAGATGGTTTTTATCCTGCATTTAAAAAAATTTCTCGTCAAACCTGTCAACGTGATATTTTAAAATATTATCAGCAAGAACAAGAAAAAATAATTTCTTATTTTAAAAATTTAAACTGTAAATTTTCTTTAACTTCTGATATTTGGACATCTAGAGCACAAACTGGATATTTATGTATCACAGCACACTGGATTGATGAAAATTGGCAAATGTTTAAAAGAGTTGTTTCTTTTATTGCAATAGAAGAGTCACATACTGGTGCTAATGTTGCAAATTTAATAATTGAAGAACTTATGAAATTAGAAATTTCACAAAGAATATTTTCTCTTTCACTAGATAATGCAAGTAATAACAATGTAGCTGTTGATTTTATCAGATCATCTTTATCATTGCCATGTCATGGTGATCTTTTTCATATTATGTGCATCTGTCATATTTTAAATTTAATTGTTCAAAGTGCATTTACTGAAATTAAACCCATGATAGAAAAGGTTAGAACAGTTGCTTACATGCATAGTGCTTCTGAACAAAGACTTAAAAGATGGAAACAATTTTGTGAAAGAAAAAATGTAAAAGCCTAGACTAATTCCAAAAGATGTTGACCATAGGTGGAATTCCACATATGCAATGTTAAGTGTAGCAATAGAATATAAAGACATTATAACTGATTTTATAAACTATTATGCTTCTAGTTCTAGTTCTGGTAGCACTTATGGAATAACTGAAGATGAATGGACAGTTATATGTAATTTAAATGATATGTTACAAGTTTTTTATAATGCTACCATGTTATTATCTGGCTGTTATTATCCAACCATTACTTTAGCTGCTTTACAAATTTTAAATATTCAAAATTTTTTTGATAAATATCGTTTGGATGCTACTTTTGGACCTATGGTTTTTGAAATGGAGAGCAAATTTAATAAGTATTTTAGGCCTATTCCTCATATTTTTGGTTTGAGGGTTCTTATTGATCCATGCTTGAAGGATATTGGCCTTCGAAGTTTGTTACAGTCATTGTATGGTGGACAGGTTATAGACTTAGATGATGGAACCACCCTGAATGCTACTACTCATCATTTACTTATTAGAAATTATTTTCAAACTTTATATGATGAGTATGCAGCTAGACATGGTGTAGCTGCACAACAGTCTGCAGCTTCGGTTTCTTCGAGCTCATCCCGAGCCCGAGGTAAAAGTGTAAGTTTTGATAGGTATGCAATGGTAGCCGAGCTAACTGGTGGATCTGGACTTGGATCGTCATCATCGGAGGTTTCTGAAATAGATGAATATTTTTCTGCTTCTTTAGTTAGATGTCAAGGAAATGCTTTAGATATTTTGCAATGGTGGAAAGTATATGGATCAGTTTCATATCCTATACTTTCCACCATGGTTCGTGACTTACTAACAGTGCAGGTTTCGACGGTAGCTTCGGAATCCGCCTTCAGCACAGCAGGTCGTTTGATCGACGATCACAGGACATGCTTGGATCCATATACTGTACAAGCGGTGATGTGCCTACAAGATTGGTGGAGGTACGAGAAGCGAACGCAAGGCATCGATCGGATGGCTGGAATTGAAGATAAATTTGAAGAATTGGGACTAGCAGATAGATATAAAGAATAGATTGTAGTTTTTATATCTTAGCTTACAATTTGTAAAGAATTATTTTGGAAATAATTGCAAATGATAGTGATATAGGTGAGTAGGTGCCAACCTAGTTGGGATTTACTTATCTATTGTGATGCGATTAATTCCAAAATAAATTTGTACTTGTAATTTGTAACTGATTTATCAATTATTAATAAAGAATATGTTTTTATCATTTCTTATCATCTGAGGTCGACTTGGGTTTTTTTTGTAAAAAAACCCAAGTCGACCTCAGATGCGTACGCACAATCCGCACTTGAAACGCGATATATATATATATATATATAAAGAGAGAGAGAGAGAGAGGTAGGGACTTTTGCTTGGTATCGGGGTTGGGAGGTTTAGCTGTGCAAATAGGCAATCATTTCTTATCCTAAACTCTTTTATTTTTATGATTACAATATTCAATTACTAGTATTCTCATCCTAGAGTTGTGATAATTAGTTTGTAGATAGCTTTATTACATTGTTTTATCCATAATATTATATGAATATTTTTCGTTAATTAGTAGAAAAACGAGCAACCTAGACAAAAAATTCTGTCTAGGTTGCTCCATTTCCCGTCTAGGTTGCTCCACCTAGACGGATTTCCGTCTAGTTTGTTTCGTCTAATCTGATTCCGTCTAGGTTAGGGCAAACTAGACGGAATTCTATCTAGGTTGATCAACCTAGACGGATATCAACCTAGACGGAATTAAGATAACCGTCTAGGTTGCAAACTAGACAAAATTTCATCTACAGTAGCAACCTAGACGGAATTTTCGTCTAGGTTGCTCCGCTACAGTATTTTTTTTTTTTTTTTTTGCAGAATCTACTTTGAGTGTATGTACACAATATTAAAAAAACCCAAGTCGACCTCAGATGCGTACGCACAATCCGCACTTGAAACGCGATATATATATATATATATAAAGAGAGAGAGAGAGAGAGGTAGGGACTTTTGCTTGGTATCGGGGTTGGGAGGTTTAGCTGTGCAAATAGGCAATCATTTCTTATCCTAAACTCTTTTATTTTTATGATTACAATATTCAATTACTAGTATTCTCATCCTAGAGTTGTGATAATTAGTTTGTAGATAGCTTTATTACATTGTTTTATCCATAATATTATATGAATATTTTTCGTTAATTAGTAGAAAAACGAGCAACCTAGACAAAAAATTCTGTCTAGGTTGCTCCATTTCCCGTCTAGGTTGCTCCACCTAGACGGATTTCCGTCTAGTTTGTTTCGTCTAATCTGATTCCGTCTAGGTTAGGGCAAACTAGACGGAATTCTATCTAGGTTGATCAACCTAGACGGATATCAACCTAGACGGAATTAAGATAACCGTCTAGGTTGCAAACTAGACAAAATTTCATCTACAGTAGCAACCTAGACGGAATTTTCGTCTAGGTTGCTCCGCTACAGTATTTTTTTTTTTTTTTTTTGCAGAATCTGCGTTGTACGCTATATAATATCCAACACCAAATCATGTTCATATCAAACACAATCTAATTATATTTCAATATCAAATACAATTATATTCAAATAATACATTCACCAAATTACTAGAGTGAAACATAAATTATTTACATAGACAATAACTAATTTTCACACGTCAAGGATTTATACAATGAAAGAGTTCGCAAATGCCATGAGAAAGGTAAATTTACAGATGTTAACAGAATTAGAGACAAAGCAGTATTATTCCCAATCATAATCAAAGAAACCGGCATCCTTCATTTCAGAGTAGTATACATTCTCCAGATGCATGCCCTCCTCCTGTATCAATACCAGATAAAAAAATCCACATAAGAAACAGAAAATCCAATAGAACAAACCAATGGAATATAAAACATAAGCAAACATAACCAGGAGAGAACAAAAGCTTCTCACAATTCACAAATTTTTGATGGTACTTCCAATGTTAAACACAAGTTCTACCTGATATTATATCTTGCTGGTACTTCCAATAAAAATCCATAATGAAACAGTTGAAGGATGATCATTACTGGTTATGTTATATTCATCTATGATTTTATTTTCATTACCCGGTGGATGCTCCTCAAAATATTTTATCAGTTCAAATGTTCAAGGACAATATGTCATGCAAGCTTAGTCTGCTCAATGATTCCTTAATTTTAAGAGACTTCAAAGAGAATTCATATGAATATGGGGGAGAACTGATAGATATACCTTGATATTTATCAATAGGTAACAAAGCAACCATCTATCTTAGACTAAAACCTTCACCATTTGGTACAACATTGAACAAACTATTGGGCTAACAGATTTGTGCAACGAAACACGTGACTCTCTCTCATACAATCAACACCATTTGAATAAGAATTATATTTCCAACAGCAGTATTGTAGGGTACATTACCCGAACTCATAATATTTATATTTTTGAGTCAAAACTCAGATGAATTTGTTCACAAATGAAAATTACCAAGACTTAAGACTCAAGGACTGAGCCGGACCAAGGATGGGCTCAGGGCATAGAAATGTGGAGAAACGGACCTGCCCTCACTCTATGACCGACGATTCCTCCAAACATTCACATAAAACAATCAAAAGGCAATGCTCAAAGTATTGGGCAGCATGAATTATCCCCACAAACTAGCAAAACTAAAGAAAAACTTCGACGATAATGATAATGACTTCCACCAAAGTATCCTATTAAGTGTCGGCCACCAATAGTACATAAAGTTTCTCAAACCCTTTTCATGTACAAAAGAGAACCAGGTTCATATACTTCCACCAAACTATCCTATTAATCAGATATGAACCATCCATTTTCTTTCCTTGGTTGAAGATTAATAATTAGATTGACCAGATTCATATACTTCACGATGCATACGCTTAATTATAGTGGATATGAAGAAGTGTAGATTTATGAGGCTTCTAACACGGTGGCTGTCTGCAGAAATGACAACAGAAGTAGGCCATGTTTGTTTCCCTTGCTGCTATGAACATCAGTTTTCGTTCTCTCTTTCCTTTTCTTATGTGAGAAATGAAGGAATATTTTCAGATAGGTTATAGCTATTATTAAGTTGTTGACTATAAGGAAAAGGGAAAACTGGATATCGTACAAGGCAAATGACATTAACATATTAGGCATGTTTATAACATAAAAAAGGTGTAGAAACCACTTAAGGTCTACTACGTGGATCAGTTTGTAAACAATTCAAGTTGTCCATCTTGATCTCCCTCTCCTTAAATGGAATTTATAAGCCATGAAATTTAGATTTTGTAAACCTTCTCAAGTGGTAAGATATATTCTTAAAAACCATCTCTTAATTGGATGATTTGTGTATATTTATATTTTGGATATGGAGGTTTGAATGAATAGCTTGGATTGTCCATAAAATGATTTGCTAATAGTTAATGGTCATCCTCCACATGCAAGTTACATGAGGTCTTCAGATTCCCTTTTTTATACTGAAGATAAGTAAAAAGAATGGTAAAAAGCTAGGCCCATAGAGAGGATTTAACCAATATGCGACCTCAAAGATACATGACAACAAGAATCTATACAACGTTGCCTTTAATTAACAATATGAGGGATGTATATTTAAAAAAACTTGACCTATAGATAAGAATCATATATAATATTGAACCTATAATAAACAAACCTGAGATATCTTCCATCCCAGTTGTACAAGTTTACATGCACAGTGGCAATGAAAATTAATACCATGGTAAAAAAAACCAAACTATAGGTTCAATTTACCAAATTATTGACTATATATTCAGTATAGTTAAAATTAGACGCAAACAGGTATGGGAAAGTGTAGAGAGAAAACTGCATGTAGAAAGAGTTTTCAGAAATTTTGCACGACAGAAGGAAACAAGAATATAAAACAACATTGTAGCCTAACAATTGCAATATGCCTAGTTAACAAAGAACATTGTGTGCTATTCTCAAGAACAATTACCCTAAAGAAAACCCCCGTCATCAGTATTAAGAAAACGCTATGGGAAATAAAGACAGATAATTCAAAGAGCAAATACCCTGCGTCTGAAGAGCTGAGGAGGCTCACGGTTTCTCCTGTTAGTGCGGGACCTCACCCTAACCACATTAGCATCCGTTAAGAAATTCTAGATGAAATGTACTCAACATGGAATCAAAAACAAAAATGGGAAATTGAAATTACCATCATAGACACAGGCCTCCTGCACATCCCTCACAGCAGCCTACTCCACAATGTTCCTCACGAGGAACCTCTTGATAGCCTTGTCCTAGAACATCAATCGAAAGCATAAAGAACAACAATTCAGCACGCTAGTCGAAAGCACCTCAACGTCATAAAGAACATTGTATGGTTTCTTAAATGGGAGATTTAAACCATAGAAAATAATAATATATCCAAAGTTTAGCAGTCTTAAATGTTACTGCAAGGTCTTAACCAGCTCTCAGTGCTTTAAGCTTAAAAGAACTCAAATTTGAACTGCTAATTCATATTAAAACGCAATTTCACTGCAATATCCAAATTCAATAGAATAAAAGCAAGATCTTTTCGGTAAAACCTACCTAGTAGAAATCAACATTGATGGTAAATTCTAGGGTTTAACTATAAATCAAAGTTCTCCACCAAAAATTTAAATATCCATCGCATCATAATCTAGGCCTTGATCTCATCTATTTCACCTTGGGGCAGCATTTTTTGCAGTTAGAGCATCGAATGAAGTTGACGTGTCCACGTTCGTGCCTGTTCCTTCCTCCATTCCTGCGCTTAAAAGTCTGCAAAGAAAAGTTACAGAAAACGATTAGGCCTAAATTGAATCAAATGAATGAGGAGAGAAGCTAGGGTTTCTATCACTCGCCATGGTGGCGAGATTTGCAGAAGCGATGAGGAGGAGCGGCATCAGGGTTGTTCGAATTGTGATTGGTTAGGGTTTTGTTCGGCTGTATAAAGGGAGGGAAGAGGTCGCCTTCTTGAGCCTCATCCGGAACCAGCACCTAGCCTTCGTCGGAGACTCGATGGTCCGCAACCAGCTCGAATCCCTCCTCTGCCTCCTCTCCACGGGAGATGTGGTTGTCGAGGTCGGCGTGGAGATGTGCGGGAAGTTTGAGCGGAGGACGATGAGAGGGAAAGGAGGAGATCGAACGAAGAGACGGCTGAATGAAGAATTCGGGATCTGAAGAGTTTTTGGGGGTTTTTACAGAGCGGTGAAATGAAAATGTAAGGGGGAACCGGTGGCGCCGGTCTCAAGACCAAAATATCGGACTCATTCGGCGCAGGTTGCCAACCCGGACGGAATTTTCCGGTAACTTAGACGGAACAATCTGGACGGAAATAATTCCGTCTAGATTACCTCAAACTAGACGGAATTATATTCCGTCTATATTGTTCCGTCTAGTTTGCTTGATTTTCTATTCTTTATGCATATTTTTTTAGCAAGTATTTATTGTAAAGTTGGAAGAACTTCCCATTTGTTTTTCTGTATGTTAATTCATGATCATGGTAAAGAACCACAAATTCAAAAAGTTAACACATCCCTCAACGGCAAAAGCTAAGAGTTAAACAGAAGGATGCACAATTACAAGAATTTCTTCACTTTTAATAGCCTAAGTAAAGTTTAATTGTTTGGTGAATAAGATAGAAGACAAGTTGTTGATGGACTGTTGGACGAGCTCATATGTTGTGGCCTCATCTAGCCAAAACGAAGTTACATAGCCGTTTCTTACAATCTCATCAATATGCGACTCTCCATACGCCGGACTCGCTACCTGAAAGGGAGGAAAACAATGAGCGTCAAACCGCTAGCGAGATCATCTCTATTGCCACCAGGGGGAAGGGTTAGGAGTATATAAGAAAATACTGTTAGTACGTATAGCTATAAAAATCATTCATATAACTCTAAATGGAGATTAGTATTTAGAAACCCACAACACAAGAATTAGTACGTCTAGCGAAATAATCCAAATAAGAAAATCCTCATATATATACCATGTCTCAAATTGTGGATCGCTAAATATCAATTCCAATCCTATGAATGAAAACAGTACATAAAGAAAAATACTCTAAACATCTACCAAAAAGTAAAAATAAGGCAACATGCCCTATTCAAATATATATTATATATAGAACTTGATATATGGATAACTACTAGGGGTGCATTTGGTTCTGACATGGCTCGGATATGATGCTTATCATATCCATATCTGCTTACACATTTCGGATACAGATACGGATACATGTATATCTCGGTAAGAAAAATTCATATCCATATCCGCTAAAATTGGATGCGGTTACAGAAATAGATGCGGATATATAAGCGGATATGGAAGCGGATATAAAATGAATATGTGAAAACTAGATAATATTTAGAAAAACATTGTTCATGTGATACAAAATAGGTCGTTAATATGTTCATTATAACTAAAAAACTAAGATTAGACATCTTGATTATCAAAATTAACCATAAATCCATAATTTAAGAATTGAAACTATCATAAGAATATGACTAATATGTATTCGGATATTTCAGATACGGATACAGATATTTCAGTACAAAACCATATCCATAATCATATTCTGTCTATTATAGATTTGAGTAACCATATCTGTATCCTAACGGATACGATTATGAATATTTCCTCGTATACAGATACGATTTAGCAGCCTAATAACTACACCAATTGAAAGGATGATGGAAAGTTAGAATGGAAAGAAGAAAGGACCGTAGCCTTCAACCCCAAACCAAATGCCAAAATCCGAACAAAAGCATAGAAAAATGCATATAAGAGTAAATTTAATAAACGTGCTGGTATTAAAAGATGTGCTTGCATTAAATAAACGTGCTTGTATTAAAAGTCAAGCTAGGACCAAATAAGTACGTTTTGACACGATTAAACTAGAGGAGACCATGGACATAGTCACATAGGGGTATTAAAAAAAACCCTATGCGGCTATGCCCATCGTCGCCGGGTCCGGCGGCGATAGGCATAGGGGTATTTTTTGGAAGTAATGGGAACACACGACCAGCTGGTTTCGAAATTACTTCCCTAGGCCACTGGGAATGAGAAATCACAATTTTTTTTTGGTAAATGAAAATTCTTTTATTCATCACCAAAATGAAGAATATATGTACATCAAGAATCTCAAATTGAGATATCAAAACAAAAGCTTTCAACTAATACTCAAGATATGTAGAGCTCTACTACACAACATATCCAAACCACCCAAAAAAGAGGAGCAAACTCTCTGTTTTTATACACTGTTGGCTGGAAGAATCAATAACTGCTGCTGCACCCATTTCTTGCTTTCAGTATCCATGTCACTGTTAATAATTGCAATCATCATATCCACTTTAATCAGTTTAACTAACTGATCAACTGTCCTTGGTTTTTGATTGAATAGTCTTCCATTGCGCTCCATCCATATGCTATAAATTGATGCTGTTAAAGCCAATCTTTTGATATTGTGTTTGAATCTTCCTCCCCGCAAACTGAAACTATACCAGTTTAACAACTGATTCCAATCACAGCTTCTCCACTTGAAACAAAGCCAGCCCATTATGTTATTCCAGACATCTTTAGAGAAATCACAATTATTAATTGGTGTTGAGGTAAATTTATAGACCACCACTTATTATACATGTCCAAATAAAGACCAAAGTTACTGTTTTGTAAACCGGACCCATATGCTTAAAACGCAAATTTTTTGGTCTAAATTAAGTTCCATTTTTTTTTTCGAAAAAAATTCTGTATTTATTACGCTACTGCATTTTGTAAGCGCCTCAATTTCTACATTGTAATACCCACTAACCTTACATATGGTTCAAAGTTAATACATGAAATTTTAATTTTTGTGAGAAACCCCAAAAGTTTAGGTGATATTATGAGATAAATAAAATTTAGGGGTTTTATGGGAGACACCCTCAAAAGTCCATGTGGCTTGTGATATAAACCTTATTAAAACCAAGAGGATGTCCTTCACTCAATTGTAGGCGTCTAAAAATACCTATAGGTGTCCGAATACCGCTCGAGACGAAGAGAAGATGATAAACGTCATTATCTAAGTCCAAATGGGATCATCCAAGGGCGTAAAGAAGCTAATGAGCACATGAATCAAGTTAGCAAAACATACAAGTCAACTAAATGACAAAAGACGCAAAACGGCGAAAACTACAACAAGTCCGAAAAGTCGGAAAACGCCAAAACACTCGAAAGAGGCTCGCACGGGCGAGTCACCCTAAGGTGATCCGCGCCCATGCGGCTGATGCGGGTCACCACGAGGTGACCTTCGTACGCGCGGGTCACTGATAATCATATTTTATTACAATTTTATACCCCTATTATCTATTTTTAATGAATAAATATACCACTAATACTTGTTTTTATCTTTAATTGTAGGTTTTTTTTTGGTAAATGAAAAATTTTATTCATTTTCCCAGTTTTTGAAATGAGAGCACATCAAAAACCAGAAAATATTCTGGCAAACAAGGAAGAAATAACCCAAAAACTCACTTACAACCTTTCAATTTTCTCTCTCAAATGATCTGGAATGTCTTCATGTAACACTTTCATAAGAACTGAAAGCTTCACCTACCTCACAAGTTGATCAGGACTTCGACATTTTTGCTGAAATATTCTTGAGTTCCTCTCCTTCCATATCCAGTATATTATTGCCGACAGCACCATTCTCTTCATCTTCTTCATGAATCCTAGCCCTCTCAAGCTGTTGCTAAACCAATTCATCACACGATCCCAATCACATGATCTCCATGCAAATCCTAGCCATTCCATCACTTCATTCCAGACAAACGCTGAGAATTGACACTCAAAGAAAAGGTGTTTTTTAGATTCAGGGCGATTTACAGAGCCTGTGCACAACACACACTGATTCTGGTTAGCATACAATATCCTCATGCGACACAGCCTATCCTTGGTCAATAGCCTCGATAGAATAGCAAGCCACATTATCAAGGAGTGCTTGGGATAGTGCAAGCCCCCCCAAACTGAATTCGACCAGCTTACAGTAGCTGAAGGATGGGAAATAGCATTGTATATAGATGTGATTTGAATATTACCATCTTTGAGACAGCTAGCAAGAACTCTATGTACATTCTCCATATTTCCAAATCTACTGATCACCAAATCCCTCACCTTTAGGAGTTGCCTCCACATCCAAGAGTCATTTTTCCTTGGTTGAATTTGCCAAATCCTCTGATTTTGTAAATAGTTCTCATGGACCCATTTAATCCATAATAAATCTTTTTTAGTATGTATCATCCATAGCAATTTAATACCTGCAGAGAAATTCCAAAACCTGGCAGTGAATAGACTCAATCCTCCAAATTTCTTATCCTTGCATACCTCTGTCTAGGAAAATAGATGAATTTTGTTCCCCATAAGAAAGCAGAACACATTTTATCAATCTTTTCCAAAACCTTGATCGGAAGGATATAGTTGCTTGTCCAATAGATTTGAATTCCCAGAATAACAGATTTTATGAGTTGGATTCTCCCCGCATATGACAAGTTTTTCCTGTTCTGCCAAGATTGGAATTGATCTGAGTCTTTAATTGTAGGTTAATGAAGAATAAAGCCCAAGATTTCTTCTCTCAACAAAAACTCATGAATTAAATGAAGAACACAAGCAAGAGCCAAAAAGCCCAAGCCCAGAATCAAGCCGAGTAGCCTGTAGAAACCGGAGAAAATAAAAAAACCAAATATGAAAAAAAATGTATTCAAGATAGTTGGCCGCAAAGAAACGACGATATATTTCAATCCGGAAGGTGGGATTTAACATATAATATATGAAAATCGCCTATCTCGAAGAGACAAAGCCATCCGTGAAGGCAGAAATTTGATAGGGCATATGCCGGCATCGATGCGGGCATCGATGCTAGACAGTTCTGTTACGAATTAATGGCTGATTTTTGATGTGCCGGCATCGATGCGGGCATCGATGCTAGACAGTTCTGTTACGAATTAATGGCTGATTTTTGATGGTTTTGAATAAGATTTCAGTCTAAGGGCTCATATTCACTAATGTTTACTATAAATAGGGGTAGAGAGTGAGGGGTTAGAGGTGTAGAAATTTTTATAACTCCTTTTGAAGAGGAGGGCTACTCTTAATTGAGAAGGCCTTCCAAATTTGTAACTTTTTGTTACAATTAATAAAAGAATTTTTTCACCACTTTAATTTTTTTTTTCTTCTCTTTGCTGGATGATGAAGATGAAGATGGAGATTAATTTGAAGGTTTGTTTTTCTTATTTCTCTTTTATTGCTTATTAGTTTAGATTTATTTTCATGCTTGTAATTAGATTTTATTTTCTTGTTTAAATATCCAAGAGGCTAGAACCCTCTTGCGTTAGATTTATTTCATGCTTATAGATTAGATTTATTTCATGCTTATATAGTAGATTTATTTTCTTGCATTTAATTCTTATAATTTATTTTGTAGTTTAGATTTTGCAATTTATTTTGTAGTTTGATTTTAATTTCTTATACTATTCACCTTGAGGCTAGAGCTCTCTTGGGTTTAGTTTTTCTTTTTATTTATTTTTATTTTCTTTGATTCGCCTTTAGGCTAGAACTGTAGACGTCAAAAAATGCTAATAGATATCCCAAACATAGAGAAGATCATCAGAAAATCACTTCATACTGTCTTTGGATAAAAGTCAAGACAGATATGAACTGTCTCGCCAGCGAGACAGTGTTGGCTGTCTCGCCAGCGAGACAGTGTTGAAATGGTCAAAACCACCTTAAATAACTCCCAC